AGTTCAGTCGCTCAGTTGTGTCCGACTCTTCGCGATCCCATGGACTGCAGCACACCAGGCCTCCCTGTCCATCACCAACTCCCAGAGTTTACTCNATATTTCTCCCGGCAATCTTGATTCCAGCTTGTGCTTCCTCCAGCCCAGCATTTCTCATGATGTACTCTGCATATAAGTTAAATAAGCAGGGTGACAATAAACAGCCTTGACATACTCCTTTCCCTATTTGGAACCAGTCTGTTGTTCCACATCCAGTTCTAACTGTTGCTTCCTGACCTGCATATAGATTTCTCAAGAGGTAGGTCAGGTGGTCTGGTATTCCCATCTCTTTCCGAATTTTCCACAGTTTATTGTGATCCACACAGTCAAAGGCTTTGTCATAGTCAATAAAGCAGAAATAGATGTTTTCTGGAACTCTCTTGCTTTTTTCAATGATCCAGTGGATATTTGAAACTTGATCTCTGGTTTCTCTGCTTTTTCTAAAACGAGCTTGAACATCTAAAACCGGCTTGAATAGGGAAGCCTGGCATGCTGCAGTTCATGGGGACACAAAGAGTCGGATGCGACTGAGTGACTGAACAACAACAAAAAATGATTTTACATTTTTCAAATGGTTGAAAACAAGCAAAAGAAGGAGCATACTCCATCATGTGTAAAAATGATATAAATTCAAATTTCAGCTTCCACAGGTGAAGAGCTCTTTGATTGTTATAAGCTCCTTTCACCTACCCACACCCCAAACTTTACCTGATCCTTTTTAAAAAATATTTTATTTATTTGGCTGCATCACATATTAGTTGCTCTCGATCTTCGTTGAGGACTGCGGGATCTTTTAGTTGGGGCATGTGGGATCTAGTTCCCTGAGCAGAGATGGAACCCAGGGCCCCTGCATTGGGAGCATGGAGTTTTAGCCACTGGACCACCAGGGAAGGCCCTTGCTGTTGTTCAGTCGCATCCAACTCTTTGTGATCTCATGGACTGCAGCATGCTTGGCTCCCCTGTCCTTCACCATCTCCTGGAGATTGCTCAGACTCATGTCCATTGAGTCAATAATGCCATCCAATCATTTCATCCTGTCACCCTCTTCTCCTCTGCCCTCAATCTCTCCTGGCATCAGGGTCTTTTCCAATGAGTCAGCTCTTTGCATCAGGTGGCCAAAGCATTGGAGCTTCAGCTTCAGCATCAGTCCTTGCCTGTTACTCCAGGTATCTCTTGACTAAGGAAGTCCCTACTTGATCCTTTTAATCTCACTTCGAACACCCCATCACCAGAAAGCCTTCTCTGATACCCTCTCTTTCCTTTAAGGAGAGTTTTTGTATTAGTCTTTTGCATTTGCAGAGCAGGACTGTGTCCCTGAGCTTCCCTGGTTGCTCAGATGGTGAAGCATCTGCCTGCAATGCGGGAGAGCCGGGTTTGATCCCTGGGTTGGGAAGATCTCCTGGAGAAGGAAATGGCAACCCACTCCAGTATTCTTGCCTGGAGAATCCCATGGACGGAGGAGCCTGGTAGGCTACAGTCAATGGGTCGCAAAGAGTCGGACATGACTGAGCGACTTCACTTTCACTGTGTAACTAGAGCATCCTGCAAACCAGCACCCACAATTGCTCAGGCCGGCTGGGGGACAAATGATGTCTACAGAATAGTGCTAGAGGGCCATTTATGTGTCAGGCCTTTCAGGGTGTTGGGGAGAGAGCTCCAAATAAGCTGGTTGGGATCTCTGCCCTCCTGGACTGTACATTTCAGTTCAGGGAGATCAGTTAACTCAAAGTTAGCTTTCTCATCTATGAAATGAGGATCACAACAGTAGCCACTGCAGACAGCAGTCAGAAGGACTGAATGGTCATAGAGAAGGTGCTCACAGCCTCTGGTTCTTGGTAGACCTTTGAGAATTGTTACCATTATCTGCCTAGAAAGCTTGCATTTCTGAACTTTCAGTTGATTCCTGTGAAACACACCTACGTTGCTAACAGTAACATTTCTGGCTGAGGCAACAGGAACAAACACTGCAACCTTGATTCTGCTTCAGTGACTAACTAGCTGTGTGGCCTTGGGCAAACTGCTTGAAGTCTCTGATCCTTATTTTCCCCAGACTTAATGCAGGCACAAATAGACAATTGCTGTAGGCTTCCAGTTATATGAGGTACTAATAGTCAAAATCAGAGAGATAGAGAGTAGAATGGTGGTTGCCAGGGACTAGAGGGAAGGAGAAAGGGGAGTTACTCTTGAATGGGTGTAGAGTTTCAGTTTTATAAGATGGAAAGAATTGTGGAGATGGAAGGTGGTGATAGTTGCATGCCATTATGAATTTATTTAATACCACGGAAGTGTATGCTCACAGTGGTCACTATGAGCTGACCCTATTCAACCCCCATCACCTCTCCTCTCCTCTCTCTCAACACCCTGTCAATCAGACATCACACTAGCACCCCACTCAAACTGCCTTTGTCAAGGTCCCATGACTCCTGCACGGCTAAGCCCTCTGGTCACTCTGCCTCTCAGGGGCACTTGGTGGCAGCAATAGGTCATTGTCTCTGTGAAATGAGTCTGCCCTTGGCATCCCAACACCACACTCTCCTGTCTTCTATTTCATCATTTGCTTCTGCTCAGCCTTTCCTGCTGGTTTCTCCTCGTCTCCCTGACCTCTTGATGTTGTAGGTACAGTCCTTAGGTGTCTGCTCGTCTCTATACTTGTTCACAAAGAGATAGCACCTTGTTTCATGGTTTCAAATGTTATATGTAAGTTGTCAAGTCAATAGATAGATATATTGATAACCTTCAACCCTAAATAACCCCCTTAACTACATTCTCAGCTATCTACAGAACATATCACTAGATGCCTTGTATGCATCTCAGATTTAATATGCAAAAGGCCATATGCAAAAACTAGCCTCTTCTCTAATTTACTCCCATCTCAATTAATGACATCTTCATTCTTCTAGGCACTCAGATAAAATCTATATAATCTCCCTGGCTTCTTCTCCTTCTTCCACACCTTACATTCAATCTATCAGCAAATACTGTCATTTCTACATTAAAATGCATTCTTACCACCTCCATCGCTCTGGTCCAAGCCACTCTTGGCTCTCGCCTGGATTATTGCTAAGGTAGTATTGCTCTTGATTAAGCTCCTTGCCTCTGCCCCTGCCTCATCCAGTGTATTCTCAATACAGCAGCTAGAGAAGCCCTACCTAGCATCCATCAAATCTTGTCACCCCTCTACTCAAAGTCCTGCACTAACTTCCTGTCTTTTACTTTCAGAGTAAAAGCAGGTGTCCTTATAATGACCCAGGAGGCTGTCCATGATTTGATCTCTATTATTTCTCTATTTCACCTATATTTCCCTCTGCTGACCCCCCTTGCCTCCTCTGGCCTGAGGCTGACCTGCCCGGAACCAGAAGATAAATTGCTGGGGATGTTTTCATACTGGATGTGGAGGCAGGATACGAGGACAAGTGGACTTTGTTCAGGGGAGACCCCTTACACATCTTCAGTGTGGGGAGGCCACTGGGTCCCAGGTCAGCTGCTTGCCTGAGATCATTGTTGGAAGCCCACATTGTTAGGAACAATAACTAGCTCCCAGGAGGACCTGGGATGCAAGGCTGTGAATGGGCTTTTGCTTCATTTGTGCAGATGGAAAGGGATTTTCTCAGGGATATAATTTTTAGGCTCTTTCTCTGTCTGTCATACAGTCACCTGAGACGGGAGGTGGGTATGTTTCACTGGGGGAGAGACACATGGTTGCAGACTGGATGTTCTTCTCAGCTGCAAGGTCAGTCTCAGGCCTTCATGATAACAAATGTGGACCCTGGAACTGAAGGATGACCTTCTAGCAGAACTTATACCCTGCTTCCTAGAGGTTACAGGCATTGTTTTAATAATGAATAAGTTCATGGCCACCATGACCAGTTTGCCCAGTGTTCGCCAACATTGTCCTCTGACTTAGAGTGACTTGTGGCAACCTGGCTGGGTTTTTGCTTCCGTGTGTGTATGGAGGGTTTTCAAGCAGACTTCTGTGCCACATGCTGATGTTGCCCTGCCCATTTCCTACCCTGTGGTCACAGCACTCAGACAGCTCATCACCTCCGCTGGCTCAGCTGTAGCCCGGGAAACTGACAGAGGAGGGAATTTAACGCCCGGGGCAACCTCCACCAGGGCAGAACAGGGCTCAGGGGATGAATGCGCACACGCCTGTCTCCAGGTGGAACAATTCTTTAGGCCATTTCGCATAGGTTCGCAGGGAGTTCCTGGTGGAAATGAGCCCAGTTACCCACAAGGAACAGTTCATTCTTTACAGACTATTCTCCCTCCCTATTCCGGTCTCTCCACTTTTTCCAAATAAACTACTTGCACCCAATATCCTGTCTCTATTATGGAAACCCAATTAAGGCAGGCAGGGATGCAAGTGTAAGATGGAGTCAAAACCTTTCGCTCACTGAAGACGTGCTGAGTGCTAGACCCTTCAGGAGGATAACGACTCCTCAAGGCACACACTTTCCTCCTCACTTTACAGATGACAAACCAAGACAGGAAAAGGTAAGTAATGCCCCCAGAGTTCCCTGCTCCAACACCTTGTCTCTCAAGAGAAATCATCCCTTCCAGCTGTACTGACAATACAGGGAGACCATCTGACATGAGCTTCACTCATTTCCCCTCTGTTGACTTACAGTCTCTCCGAGTCACCTGCATGGTCTTCCTTCCATATGGTCTAGGATGTGAAACTTCTCCAAAGGAGAACTGTCTTGAGACTTCCCTGGTGGTCCAGTGGCTAAGACCCTACACTCTCCATGTAAGGGGCCCAGGTTTCATCCCTGGTCAAGGAACTAAATCCTACAAGCTGCAATAGTTCTCATGTTGCAACTAAATAACCCCAACACTGCAAGGAAGATTGAAGATCCTGTGTGCCACAACTAAGACCTGGCACAGCCAAATAAATATTAAAACAAAGAACTGTCCTTACTTGTCACTCTGTGTCATTCATGAAGCAAAGAACATTATGCCACACAGTCATTGAAATGTCTATTTATTAATAAGTGGTGCAGTATTTATTTAAGATAGAACATAAAAAATCAGGTAAGAATTGTTTGCATAATATATATGGAAATCAACCTAGTAAAGTTGTTCAAAGATTGGACACAGCCAGAATATAAATTACACACAGTTTAAAAATTACAGGAAATCATATTATAAAGAGCACTAAAGGCCACTTGTGGAAGAGTTGTGTTCCCGTGTAAGCCAGAATGTGAAGAAAGCCTACTGTTAGCATGGAGACAAATTCAGGGAGCAAGGCACCAGAATTCTATGCCATAAAAGGGGGTTAAAGAAAATACAATCCAAAATCAGATACAATGGATTCATGTCGCTGGAAACCTCCACGTGCTCTTCAAAGACTGGTATTTTCCATCACTGCTGCATTACGAAGAGGAAAAAGTACAAGAAGAGCCATATCCCCCTGAAAGCAATGGGGAAAGCATTTTCCTTTAAAACAGGGAAGGATTGACAAGTCTGCTGAAGCTGGCCCGTCTTTCTAAGGTGATTTTCAAGATGGGTCAGAGCCTACCTCCCATCTCTAAAGCAAAGCCTCTGACACCTGAAAAGATAGCGGCACCCAGGCTGGGAATTTGTCCTTCCACCCAGACTCTGAGCCCTCAGAGGAACTTCGGAGGGAGAAGCTATCCTCCCCTCCCTTAGAACAGGATTCAGAGGGAAAATAAGAGCCCAATTATCAGATCAGGTTGGCTTCCACTGGGAACCTTGATCTTTTCATATCAAGAAAGAAAAACACAAACTGTTCTGAGCGTTTGGCCTTCCAGGGAGTGTTTTTGAAGACCCAACTGTTTCTGCAGGATTTCAAAGCCCTGGAATAAAGGGGCAGTCTAGAGACAAAAGACCAGAGTTGGGAGGGAGGGACATTTGAACTTGTTTGGTTAAAACAATGAAAGGAGATCCTTGGGGATAAGGAACAAGGGGCACTTGTGGGATTATCTGCAGCCATACCAAACTCCCAGAGCTAGTGGATTCCAACATGAACCAGACTGACAATTTATGTGGCATTGTTTTCTCCTGCCGACAGCTGGAATGTGAAACCACTCAAAAGAATAGGCGGGACCACCAAATAGCAAGGGGAACAGTCAAGGCAAGAATCACTCCTCTCTCTAGAGATCCAATGGGTCTGCAATCATTCTACTGGAAGACAGGGTGGAGGAGGGCAAGGCTTTGTGGAAGATTCCAGGACCCGTCTGGGAGCATTTCCATTGACCTGGGAGACTTGGGATGGGAAGAAAGAATGGGCTTTGGAGGTACATGGGTTTTTGTTGAGGGCTTCTCATTCTCAGCTTCAGCTTGCTCATCTACAAGGTGGAAATGGTAACACTTTTCCAGTGGGATTGTGATGAGGATTGCACGAACTCAAGAGAGAGAACTGTGATGTCCCATACCACTCCAAGTGAGAAATCAGGGCACGTTCCCCTCTCCCCCTTCCCTGACCACAGTCTTGTGGGCAGAGGAAGAGAATAGAACATGGAAAGAAAACATGTTCTCATGTTGTCTTACTCTGGGATGTCAAATTGTGTAGTCCATTTGACAAGTCTAAGAGGAATTACAGATATATTCCTAATCTGTGGGAAAGAATTTTGACTGCTCAATTATAAGTCACACTCAGGTTATTCTTACATAGAGCCCATTTTTTATTTATTTCTCTCTGAAACTTATTTCAACCCCAGACAGTCTTTAAAAACCCTGGGTCACCTATTGCCATCCAAGAGCTTGACCATCTTCCTTTCTATCTCTTAGGAGCTCCTGGTTCTGCCTGATTCAGGAGATATGAATATCCTGCTACTGGGTTTAACAAGGGCTGTGGGGCAGCCCTGCTGAATTCTGGAAAATCTATCCCAAGCACAGCATGAGTGGAAACCAACTATGGTAATCCTCCTTTGAGCCGACAGAGGCTTGTTCACCTCCTAAAACAATTTTCTAGTTACAGGAACATAAGATATCTGCAATTAAATCCTGTTTGCTTCTTTGTAGTTTTGGTGAAGACACCAGAATACTAGGCTGTGACATGAACAAGACAGACATTCTGGGACAAAGCAAGAGGAAACAGGCTGTGCCCAGGAGAGACCCAGAGAGCCCCAAACCAAGGGTCAACTTTAGTAGACCTGGTGACTTGGGGCCCAAAGAAATCACATCCCATTTCTTAAACTTGAGTCCATAATTCCTTTTTTCAAAGAGAAACCCTAGTAAATGGGCTTATAGATAAGGATGTAGTCTGAGACATGAGTCTGAAGCCAAATGGGTCAAAGAGATGAACCAGCCTATGCGTGGCAGGGCACGGAGGGGACAAAGTGGGAGCGGTGAGCGGAGGGGAGGGGAGCAGGGCTCTTCTTGCCTTTTTTCAACTGCTCGCAGCAGCAGTGGTGTTACTATGTCTTTGAAGACAGCAGGGTTTTGGAAGAAGGAATGATGTCATCTTTCAAGGCATGGGATCCTCAATCATATTCCAGCCAGGAAGATGTTTCGAACATGTGTCTGCTTCTGCAGTTGCTCCAGTGGACCGGGAAGTTTTCTCTCATCTCCTGGGCTCAAGAGCAATGCTCTATTCTCACTGGGTGTTTCAGTTTTTGATCTCTAACATCTGGTCTAGGAGTTAGATCTGAATTCTAGATTCTGTGACACAATCACTCATTTAGTCACTGATCACGTAAGTGTAATTTTCTTGGCTCCTGATATAAAGAGAGAAGTGGTTTTTCTGGGTTATTGAGGTCTCTTCTCATTCTGAGCATCTAAAACTCTATGACATTCTACTTTCCTGCATCTATGATAATAGAGGAGAATACTATTTCACAGTTTCCTTGCAGGCATGCTGGAGCTGAGACTGTTCAAAGCTGAGAACAAAGCCCCCTGGGGAGGGTTTCAGCAAACTTAAACTCTTTCATGGAAGTTCTCCACTCATTTCTAGCATTTGTCTCTCAGACATCATGGCACAATTGACTTTCCCTGTTGAAACCACTCATCTCTTTATATTCAATTATTCCTATTTGACTTTACCGCCTACAAACTGTGTCAGGGAACTTCCACGACCCGAACACTGGGATCCAACCGTCCTGGTCTCCTCCTTCCGATAGTCTGCTCTTCCTTATTTTGATGGAAAAAGGAAGGCTTTTTATTCCTAGAGATGTCCTTATTTAAATGGCAATTGTGAAAGTTCCTGATTCTGTCGTGTAAAAATTGGTATTGTATCTTGACCACTCTTTTTCGGAAAAAGATCTTCTCGCATAAATTTAGAGTTCATGAGTTACACCAAAGATTCAGGCAATGGAATCCATATATACTGTAAAAAAATGAACATGAATGGTAGTCATTCGGATATGGCAGTCTCTGTACTAGGGGTTTTATCTATACGAATTAGCTCTTTTGAAAATAAAAATTTGCCAGAAAAGCCAAACATGTTTGTTTGAATATAACTCAAATTTTCATCCAGGTCATCGTTATATCCTCTCAAGTTCTTAGGCATTTTCCACTCCTGGTTTCCTTAAGCACTAAATCTATACAGACAGTATCTGCTTCTGACCTGGGCATTGTTCTAACTGCTACCTGATTTAGGCTCAGTTTTAAATAGTGTAATATCAGTAACACAAGAATTTTGGGTTGATTTCAATACAAAGAAAGGACTTACAGTCTGTTCAAAAGTTCATCCTGAAACAAACAAGCCTTCAAAGACAAGTGAGGACAATGGGGCAGATTCCTCAGAGTGCCTGGGGTTCAGAGAGCAAAGACAATCCTTGTGGTTCTAAGTGCCTTGTGTGTGGATTCTAGGAAAACCAAGAGCAGTTACTTGGCATCTTCTGGAGGAAGCCTGGGCTATGCTTGGCAGACTGTTCAAAATTCAGTTGACATCTAAAGACACTGGACACAGTTCTTCTCGTGCCCCAGAAGAACCTGGTCTGTAGGTTTCTAGAAGCGTTTCTCTTGAAATAGATGCTGTATATTGGTACTTACTATAAGCATCTCTTTATCAACACACAAAATGGAATTGTCTCAGTTCCTTGCCTGCTGTCCACTACGGCAGCAATCTGGTGAGGAAGAGAAAGCGTTTCTCCAGAACCTTCTCAGATGCTCTAAAAACTCTTCTTCCACAGCTTATCTTATTTGGAGCCATAAAGTCCAAAGCATGGAACTTAAAGTCCCTGGAGGACCCATTTGGCCTTTCCTGAGCTGATGGGGTCATGACCACTTTGATGCAGAGTTTCTACTTTCACGTTCTTCCATGTTCAATCTCTCACTGATTCCAACCTTGGAAGCATTCTTGTCTATATAGAATTGTCTGCAGGAATGAGATGAAGTTCTTTCCACTTTTGGTAGACACAGTTTGAAGGGAACTTTAATAATTCAAGGCCACTAGAGTCCTAGATTTTGGTATTTTTCTTATCTCTAAATTTCTGGTGCTTTGTGCGGTGCCTAGAAGACAGTGGTGCTTAATAAATCTTGGCAATGAATAAACAAATGAGTGTTTTTATCACACTTATTTGAGTGGCATAGAATTATGACAATGATCTTGGCCAGTTATGAGCAGCTCCTGTTATATTAGCGTTAACAATTAATAATGTCTATAAGTAATTATTCTTTCAACTCACAGTGTCTTAGGAACTAACTGCCTTTCACAAAATAGGCATTCGATGCATATTGTTGACTAATGAACTCATTTGACCTATAGTATACCTTGGGATTGTCTGGCTTTGTTTTCATGACAATTAGAGCTTTATAACATCAATGCCATGTCTAATAAATCCGATCTCTCAGCTTCCAGAACAAACACACTTAATAAATAGAACTTTCTCAGTTTGATTTTTTCCCCCTTTTCCTCTCACAGTTAGAAAAAAAATACTTCCAGAATTTGCTTGTGTGCTAGTCTTTGATAGTCCAAACTCAAAAGTGATCTCAAGTACTTTCTTCTCAGCCAATAGCATTACCTTTAACCTAACATTTGGAAAGTGAATTTATCTAATTAATTTTGATACTACTAAAAGAGGACCTCTTAAATTTTGCATATATCATGTTGTGACATACAGAGATCAAATGCATATGATGAAGTCACAGTTTCCCTTGAGAAAGTCATACTTAGTTCTTGTAATGGAATTAATTTTTCATTATTTCATGAAGTTCAGCTGAAACTATTGTAGTTTCTCGGGGAAACTTCAGAACCACTGGTATATCTGAGGTAGAATAGTCTCAGATAAACCACTGGTATAGCTGAAGTAGAATAATCTTGGTAGAATAATCTCAATTTACCAGTAATCTTGGTAAATGGTTATTTACCAATTCTGTTGGATTATTCCAGCATGCTGTTTCTTGGTTTGACAAAAAGATGTTTGTGGAAGCACATACTGTTTCTCCCTATAACCTATGTTCAGTCCTACACCCTGAATTTCTACTTCATCAATGACAGCCATGTTGATGATGTTGTCTGTGGACAGGCAACTTGAACAGGGTTTGGTTTGCATTTCAGGAATTTTTTTTTTAAAGGGAATAGCAAAGCAGAATATTCCAGAAAGTAAATGTGTTCTTTTTTGCTTTCTTAGATGGGAAAGAATGGCTCTTAAGATTCTTATCATTTATTCATTCATGAAGATTAATTTGCCTTTGTCTACCCTGATACTGCATTGGGGCTATATAATCAACACAAATCCAATCCCTGCCATCCTGGCCTTATGACCCAGCACGGAAGCTAATGTGCCTTCTTATGGTTTGGAACAAAATACAAATTCCAGTCGTTTGTCAGTTACTAAAAGAACCTGAGGAAATCATCTAACTTTGGATCCATGATGACTATTTTTAATATGAGGATGAGAAAGTCTCACTTTTCCAGCTGGGAACTCCACTGAGTTCTTGGAAAATGCCTCTACTTGTAAGATACTGAGACCAGTGTGTTCTGCAGGGGTATTAATAAGTTAGAAAAATAATTGGCATGTTAGATGGCTCAGTCATTTTTGATGAAAGATTCCAGGAAGACCAGAATCAAGAACCAAGCCCTAAGGAAGGAACATAAGGTTTCTTGGGTCAACAACCCCAGTGGCACTTGCAGCCCCCTATAATATGGGAAGGATCAAATGATCCACACCTTTTGCCCTTCAAATGGCCAGAAAGTCCAATAGTCAACCATCGGAGAGGGGGTTTCACATCTGATGTACGTGCTCATTCTTCTGTATTTCCTACCTGGGACTTCAAGGTCAACACCCATCCATTCATGGGACTCCCCACATACAACTTCCTTTCTACCATTCACAATGCCAAGGACTTCAGACTTTGGCTGTAAGTTCCTAAAGTCAGGGGCTGACCCTTCATTATCACTGTACTCTGAGCCTTTTACGAGATACCTGTTGACATGTGGTTGAAAGAAACCCACATCTGAGGAAGAAGCTCCTCTCTCCAATATAGTGCAAAATCCTCGCATTAGGTAATGATGAAGCTGTCAACCTCGTGTCTGCCACAGCCATTCGGGCTCTTGGCAACAATTCGAGGGAGAATACTGGTGGGATGCAGACACTCATGTCAATCAGTTTGATGGTCACCCTGGCAACCATCTACAACGGCCCTTAGACGTGTGAAGAGAGTGAGACAATAACACTGTGGTGGAGTCATTTAGCTAATTATTCCAAGCCTAACAGAAATCTTGCCCATCAATGTGTTTCAGAGAGCAGCAACTTCTCCTAACAGGATGGCTTCTGCTTCATATTGATACTTATACAGGTCGGTGCACTCCAGCTTGTCTGCTTACACATTAGCTAGTCTTATGGCTACATGTGGTTTCAAATATCTAGAGGGGTGAAATTAGATGGTTCTGGAAATTTTGCCTAAAATGTTGTAGCTTCATTGTATTGATTTTTTTTCTGGATCCAGAATGCAAAGCATCAGACAAGCTTGTTTTGCAATAAAAGCAGACATCCCCCTCCCACTTGGACAAACAGTTTCATGAGTGCTTTCTATACAACACAGAATACAGGCACTTGGTCCCATTGTGGAAACTGCAGAGCAGTGTTGGGAGGAGACCAGGGCCTGCAGACAGTCAGCTGGCTGAGATCTGAGTCCCAGCTCTCCTGGCGGGTGATGGGGGCATCCCAGTCATCTCTCTTTACCTGGCCTACAGTTTCTCATTTTTACAGGGAAGGTCCTGGACCAGGCAATTTCTGTGTGCCCTCTTGACTCCAGTTCCCATTTGACTCGGGCATCTTGTATGAGTATCACAGGGAGGAATGTGAATTGGAACCTCGTCTTGAAGGCACTGAACTGGACTCCTGCCCCAAGGGGCACCCTGCGGCTGATAAATTTTGTTATCTTTGGCTGCATAAGTTGGGAACTATTTTAACGTGTGTGTGTGCTTTCTCCCTGCCTATTCACAACTCATCCGAAATGTTACACTTGCCACCACCTTTGAGAGATGAAGAAACGGGCGTGAGAGTTGACAACGACAGACCAAGTGAGGTCCCTGAGAGCTTTTGGAAGGTTTTCCCAGCTTTTCCTTAATAAAATAATTTTGTAATTCTTAGTTTGGCAGATATGATGCTATCTCATTCCTGCCCTCACATTTTAGCTCAAGAGGCAACCTCCTTGGTACATGATGCTTTTTTGTTGAGGGAACTATTTGCTTGCTGTAGAAAACAACTAATCATTGGAGTGTTTTACACAAAGGGGCAGTGATGCGAGAGCAACGGAAACGACTTTCTCTGCTTACCAAACCAAAACCCAAAGCAGCCAACCACACAGACACATAGCACGGCTCATCCATAATTTCTCCCTGTACTGGCCCAGTCATGATTCAAAGTAAGAACAGCGGATAAATGTGTATCTTAAAGAGGTTAGCGGTACCATTTTATATAGTGTAAAGTCATGCAAACCATGCTTGAAAGGAAGCGGCTTCATTGTGGTGACCGGGGGAGGTAAAAGGCCACGACAAGCCCCCGCCCAGGTGGGGCCACCACGCACATGCATGCGTTTGATGCAGCCCCCGGTGATCTCAAAGGGACGTGGCGGGTGTGAGAGCAAGTGAGCTATACAAAGTCTGTCTACATTACAAGGAGGAGTCAGCCCACGACCCCCTTTTTAAGTGGGCTTGCCGGAAGGGGTCCATATTGAATCAGAAATGCCATCCCCTGTGGACGACAGAGGCATGGAGCCACTGGGTGTGAAGGGGTCGGTGTCCGTGTCCGTCTCACCCTCGGCCAGGTACCGTTTCTCCCTCATCCAGCTCGACCCCCCGCTCGGGCCAAACGCATAATCGTCTCTGTCCTGGGAGATGCTGAAGCCACTGGGCGAGCGTTCCAGCTCCTCGTGGTTGACTGACATCAGGGATAGGGGCGTGTCGCTGTCCCGGGTGAGGCTGCACCTCTGCCGGGGGGAGACGCGGTCCGAGCAGGGGCCATGCAGTTCCGCCTGGGAGCGGTAGCTCCCCCGGGAGTCGAGAAGCGTCAAGATAGGCAGGACGGTGGGCCTTTCCGCATAGGTGACCCTTTCCGCATGACCCTTTCCAGAACTGGGTCCCCCTAGGGGCAGGTTCACGGGGTCCTGGGCAAAAAACCCATAGGGGCCGACTTTGTCGACGGGCACCTGGTGGAAGCTGTAGGGGGCATCGGGGGTGCCCGTTTCGGAATAGTTGCAGATGATGGTTTTCAAATCCGAGTCCCTGTGGTCCTCTTTCCGCTCGGCCTCGGCTGGCGAGCAGGCCCCCTTGCTCGGGGAGAAGTCGCTGACACGCACCTGGAGCCGCTCCATGTGCTGCAAGTGCATGTCCACCAGGAAATCCAGTTTCTTCCCCATGTCGTGCACCTGGAAAATACGAGGAACTGGGGATTACTGCTTTCTCCGGGCCTGCGGGCACTTGTCACTGCTGGTGAGGAAAAACCAGAGCATTTACTTTCCAGCAAGGAAGAGGGTTCTTGCCATAAGAACTTGCCATAAGTCATATCATCATAGCAGTTAACTGTTTTGTGTCTCTCGATTTTGAGCTTTGTGCATGGATGCGTGCATGCGTGCTCAATTGTTCAGTCATGTCCAACTCTGCGCCAGGCTCTTCTGTCCAAGGGATTCTCCATGCAAGAAAACTGGAGTGGGTTGCCATTTCCTTCTCCAGGGGATCCTCCTGGCCCAGGGACTGAACCCATGTCTCCTATGTCTCTTGCATCAGCAGGTGGATTCTTTACCACTGTGCCACCTGGGAAACCTGCATGGATTTCTGCTAATCTAAAAAAACAGGGTATGGGCCTTCTAGAAACCTGGAAGCAGAGACATGGTGTAAAGATAAGTTTTACCCAAGGAGAAGGTGATCTTGCTGCTCCTGTTTGGATCCAGGAGAAGGAGTTCTTGATTTGTAAACATTCCCTTAAAGAAGCATCTCTATTGTCTGTGCACATTCCCCTTACTTGGGGACGTAAGCCCCATGGGTACAAGGGCAGTGGTTAGCAAGAATTGTGCTTCTCAGAACTAGAGATGCTCCCTAGGGGCCTTGGAAGCCAGTGGAAAGTACGCTGAGATCAGCTGCATCTACCCGCTCCTACCTACAAAATTGAGAACGTATCGAAATCATCGTGCGTGCACAGACACAAGTGTATGTGCATGTGTGAATGGGATGTTCTTCTCTGACAGTTCACAACTCACCAGGAAGGACTGAAGGCAGGTCTACCATTCCCTCTTATAGCTGACCACACAAAGCATAGAGCAAGATCATGGCTGAGTTGGCATCCAAGTCTAAATAACAACTAATCCTTCTCTAGCAGTTACTATGCACTTTAAAGTTATTTAATTTTTCATATTAATTTTCTTATTTAACTTATTTAATTTTCATAACAGTCCTATGAGGTGGATACTATTATTCTATTTTTCAGTTGAGGAAATAGAGGCACAGAGAGATGAAGTAACTCATCAAACATCACAAAGTAGGTAAATGGAAGAGCTGAGATGACAAATTAAAATTTAACAATAGAAAAGGATATTCTTGACATACTAAACAGGGATAATTATTCAAATTTTCTCTTATCTTTTCTGCACAGATCCAATTTTGGGTTATGAATAAAATAAAAGGATTGATAGGAATCTTAAAGGAAATTGACGGTGCTATTTATCTAGCATAGCTGGGTGTATTGTGTGTTTAGTCGCTAAGTCATGTCCAGCTCTTTGTGACCCCATGGACTGTAGCCTGCCTTGCGATGGGATTTCATAGACAAGAATACTGGACTGGGTTGCCGTTTTCTTCGCCAGGGATCAAACCTGGGCCTCCAGCATTGCAAGCAGATTTTTTTTTACCAGGAAGGTGGGCTTCCAAGGTAAAGTTGGGCCAACAAGGCTAAAATACAAGCCACTTTACTGAAGAAATGAGAGGTGGACTTCCTGGGGTGCTGTGACTGAATGCGTTTCTTTCTGCCCTGAATGAACCCCACCCATAGCCTGCCCTCCTCCAGGCCCCTTCACACAGGCCACACACTGACCCAGATTTTCAGGGAAGGAGGATTACAAATACAGAAAAATACAGAAAATGTGGAGAAGGGCACTAACGTTCCTTACACCATGAAGTTCATGATCATAGTAGCTATCATAGGTTGAGCATTTACTGTGTGCCAGCTACTATTCTACGTAATTTACAGGTATCAATGATTTAATCCTCAAAGCAACCTCATGAGGTATTAACATCCCCATTACACAGATGAAGAAACTGAGGCTCAGAACAATTCATTCACTTGCAAGTGATTGCCCAGCCAGTAAAGTGCTAAATCAGGGATTTCATTTCCAGATCACTTGATGAATGGCAGATACTCAAGTCTGTTATCTCCCTATGAAAAAAAAATGACATTTGAAAATAAATTCCACATACTTGTTTTCAGTGCGAGAAAGGAAGGACCTACCTGCCTTTCGACTTTCACAAACTTCCCCATCATGCTTTGGTCTTCAGCTTCTGATGTGGATGGTCTGGCTACATAGGGTTCATTCCTAGGAAAGAGCCCATAATGCTGTAAGATCATGATACCTATTTTTGCTCCGCAAGGTCACTTCAGCTAGGTGGGCTGTGGTCCCTGGAACTATCCTGCTCGTGCTCAGGCTTACAGAGTCTGGAAGAACCCATGGGACTCTGCAGCCCATGGGCATTGGGAAAGGCTAGCGTTTCCTGCCTTTACCAGGGATGTCTCATGCTTACCACGTTGATTGTAGGAAATGTGAAGCTGACTATTATGCTGTTCTCAGGAAGCTTTGTGTCAAGGTTAATACACCACTTAACTGTGCCCAGAGTGCTTGATTGTTTTAAATTATTTTCCTTGGCCTTTCCGTCTCAGACACTGGTTGAGGATGGAGCATGGTTGTCTCATCTCAGGAGTCAATATTTCATCTGTTCCATTTAGCTAAGACTGGAAAACAGATGCAAAATCTGGAAAATGGTGCCAAAGATGATATTCGTAGGGAACAGGACTGAGACATGAGCTGCATTTGCTCCTTGGCCAACCACAGTTCACATCTGCCTAAAATCCAGTTAGTTTCAATATTGTCCCATGTAGAAGAGAACTTTCAGGGAGTCTAGCTACCGCTTGAAACCATTCATGCCTGGCACTTTCTAGGCAGTTGATTTTTCTCTAGGCTACTTACTCCTTCTAGGTCCCTGGCCAGGTTTGGGTTAAGCAGTGTTTCTTTTTTTTTTTTTTTCAATCTTTGGCTGTGTTGTAAGGCATGTGGGATCTTAGTTAGGGATCGAACCTGCCCCCTCTGCATTTGAAGTATGGAGTGTTAACCACTGGACCACCAGGGAAGTCCTGGAGCAGTCTTGAATTAAATCAGATCAAAAACCAGCAGCCTGTGTGCTGAATCCAGCTCCCCAGTGCCTTCCTTGACTTGCTCAGGGTTTTAAACACTGGAGCCATTCAAAAGTGGAGAATTGCACATCAGATCTGAATATTCAGCTTTTCTTGAGAAACTAGTCTATCTGGAAACAGAGGATCTCCTTTCTTAAAATTAGCAAGAGCAGAACTGAGGTTCTTCAGGGCCCTGTGGTTCACCCCTTGCTAGTCTAGCCCCAGAACTGAAGTCAAGATTAGATGCTCTGTATCACCCTCCTTACAGTCTTCCTTCCTTAATGATAGAGAGCCTTATTATTATACACTGCATGATATTTCTTATGCCTACCTCCCTTCACTCATTTATGTTATCGATACTTGCCTTGAAGATACTGGGGAATAAAGAAGTGTAAATGCAGGCAGCGGGCTTTCTAAAGGATCCTTGCTCATCACCTATAAAAGGACAATTTTCAGACAGTTTTTCAGGGAGAGCAGAGCTGCTCTGGGGCCCGACAGTGGACTTCCTTCTCAGTCTCTGGGGCTGATGAGAAAAAAAAGGCCAAAACAGCTGGCCAGGAGGAATGCCTTGGGATCTGCTAACATGAAGTATTCTTTAGGTTCCAAAAAAAAAAACCCCTCACAAGTCTCCTTTTATTTTCTAACTAGGAAACCATCAGTTGCATTTTCAGTAGCCATACAAAGGAGTGTGGCTGCAAGGCTTTCATACAGAAACTTCTCAAATGGCCACAGGCTGGAATAGGCTGCAGGCTTTTTCTCTTCATCTTATTTGGGGGAATGGCAACCTCACCTCCATGGTAAAGGAGCCCAGCTGAGACTTGGGCATGGGGATTTGGGCATGGGGATGCGGTGCGGGCTTTGACAGCCCGTCAGTCAATGGCCCCGGGCCCCACCTGGGAGACTGCTGGGATGGGTAGGTGAAGGCGGCTCCTTTCTGAGACTTCTTATGTTTTGGAGTAGATGGAGGTCCAGGGGTGAAAATCATATCTATTCTGAAAGAGAGCACACAAATGGGGGATTAAATGATGGAGAGTTTGTGTGAAGAGAGAGGAGAGCAATGTATTCTTTTCTGTTGTCAGCTGCGAGTTTGGAATATAAAAGAGAAGAGCATAAAGAGAGAGAAAGGGGGAGAGGAGGAGGTGAGGAGGAGAAAGAGAAAGAGAGAAAGACAGAGGAAAGGAGAAGGAATTTCTAATCTTAACGCACCATCATTTTGGTTTTTTTTTTGGCCCAGTGGTATGGAGAACATCTCTCCATCCCAGAGGAGAGGCAACCGAACCACTGAGACAGGATGGCAGCTGCGTCCTGTTCCTTCTTACAGGAAATGTCAAGTGTGCTGCAGCAGGTCTGGTCTCCCAGATCTTTCATTCCACCCAAAACCTCTAGTTAGGGAGGTCTTCCTGCTAAACCCTAGGCTCTGTTTTCAGCTGTGCTCTCTTTTCCCTGCAGCTTGGCAGGCTCCTCCAGCTACTAGAGGGATGAATTCGATAGTAGCTCCTATAGCCCCCCCATCAATGTCACCCTGAGCACACAGAAGACAAATGCCATCCTCCCACCCAGCGCTGATCTGCAGGACTAGGGTGGGGGCAGGGCATGGAAACAGCCCGGGAGGCTTATCACAGGCCCAGGACCGGGCAGCCAGAAGGAGCCATGCTTCTCTCTGTCCTTCCGCAAACCCAGCTGCTCCTCCAGTGACTCTGTGCACGCGTGCATGCCAAGTCGCTTCAGTCATGTCCGACTGTTTGCAGCCCTATGGACTGTAGCCGGCCTGGCTCCCTTGTCCATGAGATTCTCCAGGCAAGAACACTGGAGTGGGTTGCCATGCCCCCCTCCAGGATATACGCACATACAAGTATATAAATATGTACAAGTATGTATATATTTCTGATTGTGCTATTAGTAATCATATTATGCATATATATCCACTACAGATCACATAACTTTTTATCTTACTACATAGATTGTAAAAATATCATTTGATGGTGGCGTAACTTTTAAATGAGACCAGGTACCATTCTTTTCTTAATCACTATTTATATAATGGAGGCAGTGTGGTGTGTTACAGAGGACAGTTTTGTACCCAGATGGATCTGGTTTCATTTTCAGCTCTGCCACCTACTAGGTGGGAAGTTTGGGGCAAGATCATTGTCCTGTAAACCTTGGCCTTCTCATTGGTATATGGCAGCTCTAATGTAAAACTGTAGGGGGTTACAAGGGATTGGAGACACATATGTGAAGTGCCCAGGTGATCAGCAAAAACAGTGGTAATTATTAGCTAGGAATCAATGCTGTTTACAAATGTTTGTTAGGTAGTTAGAATAGGAAAAGGAATCCAGAATGGCGGTGGCTAAAAGACCTGGAAGGGAAAAGCCGGCGAAAATAGAACAAAGGAAGGTCTGAGGACCGGAATGAGAACCTCAGGTAAAACAAACAGCAGTCCTGGCTGGACCAACTTACATAGGACAGGCCCAGGGAGAGAGAAACATATAAATAGAGGAGCCAAAGCTAGCTCGATCTCTCTCTCTCCCGCGTGCTGGGGCGCTCTTCTCTTTGTGTCTTTGGATCAACGTGCCCTCACGCCTCGAAGATGGATTTTCCTGCTATCTTCTAAATAAAATAGAGCCGTAACATTGAGCTGTAACAATGATCTGTCTAAGAGCTATAACACGGTCCGTTTGAGACCTGAGAGCTATAACACGGTCTGTCCAAGACCCAAGAGCTGTGGCACGCCAAGGGGGCTTTAATGTCCGTCACTCCAAATGTTTGTTGTGACGAGACAAAAACCAAGGAGCATACACTCGCCTGACATGTTCACTGTTACAACGAACACTTGATGAACTTTTAATTGAGTAAAAATTTATATTTGGAACTAGCCAACTGGACTCATTTTAGATAATCCGAATATTGTTGGCAGATACAAAGGATCAGACATGATTTTTTAAGACATGATCAGACATGATTAAGACACATGTTTTTTCTCTCCCTGAGGCCTGATCAGACTATTAATCTTGGCCATGTCAATTTCATAGAAATTCTCCCCAGTTCATTTGGTTTCACATTGGTTGGCCTTGATGTCTCTGTTTGATGAATATATTTGTTCTTAACATTTCTCCCCTCATTGCGGATTAGTAGATGCCTTTCACCCTCAGCTCTGAGGCCTCCCTGGCCGATTCCTCAGCAGCCAGGAGGGCACCATCCTTCCAGATGTGCCTCTCACCTTGTCTGAAGGTACTTGATTCGGGAAAGCATGTCGAGATGTCCAGCAGAATATTGTTCAATCACATCCTTCACATCATAAGGCCTCAAAGTCTCCTTGAATTTTTTTTTATAGAGACGGAATTGTAGAATTCTGGCAGGCAAAGTAGAGACATTTGTGCATCAGGAGTGGAGAATGAAGTAACTTGTGATACAAGATGAACAAACTCTGGGGTGGGGTGGGGGGTGGTGGGAATAAAAGAACCAAAAAGACACGACTTGCTAAGAAGCCCCAGCTCCTGGTCCTGGTTCCACCTCTTGGAACCACACTGAGTTAGGCTGGCTGTTGTCTCTTCTTAATGCCTATCTCTCTTCACTCATATGAATAATAAGAAATTCATACTGATAGTAAAAGCGAACATTTATTACACATTGGGCTTGCCTGGTGGCTCAGATGATAAAGAATCTGCCTGTAGTACATGCGACCTGGATTTGATTCTTGGGTCCAGGAGATCCCCTGGAGAAAGGAAGGGCACCCCACTCCAGTATTCTTGCCTAGAGAATCCCATGGACGGAGGAGCCTGGTGGGCTACAGTCCACAGAGTCGCAAAGAGTCTGACATGACTGAGCAACTAACACTTTCACTTTTCACTACACGCCAGACACGGGCTGAGTTTATTTTTAACAATTTGCTAATAAATCTATTCACAGATGATGGAACTGTGGCCAAGGGAGCTTCAGCCTCTTGCCAGGGCCGTATTGCTGATAATGTCAGAGTTTTCCTGAAACCAGGGTTGTATGGGGACAAGGCTCACAGTCGTAAGAGCTGCGTCACACTGCTTCCTATTTGAGGACAGCTGACATATCTCTTCCTCAATAGCCTCCTTAATCCTTTGGCTTATGAGCTTCTGGAAGAGAAAAGCTAGCTTTGGTTCCTCAAATTTTTTCAGGCTTTTAATAAAGTGGGGCACCCAGAACTTGGAATCCTCACCTCCATCTTCCTGGGAATCAATAAAGTCGCCTTAGGTGATTAATCTTCTTGAAACCTCCCTCACGAGATAACTCTTGCTGAACACCGTGTCAATTTAAAACACCGAAATCACAACCCAGTGATAAGAAACACAGCTACCCAGGTCCTCCCATCTCATACTTGTATAGGCTTTTTTTAATGGTGCATTCAAGATTCATTTTGTTTGTCACAGTCCATGACTTCAGACTCTAAACACTATTTTGGTCTATCAATTGTACCATTCAAGCTCTCCTTTCCAATTCTGTGTCACTTTCTAAACTTACCCATTACACAGTTCTATCTAAGGTGGGTGTCAGGAACTATGGCTTGCAGCCAAATCTGGTCCACTGCCTGTGTTTGAAAATAGAGTTGTGTTGGAACACAGCCTCAGTCATTCATTTATATACTGTCTATGGCTGCCTTTGCACTTCAGGATCAAAGTTAAATATGACAGAGACCTATGGATCATAAAGGCTGACATATTTACTACATATCTGACTCTTCACAAAAAAATGTCTGCCAACCTCTGAACTAAGGCATCAATGACAGTGCTCCAAAGGATGGGGTAGAAGCCAGACCAGGAAGCATCTCAGCAGAGACCTCCTTCGAGCCTGACACAGATTCATTCATTGGTTTTCTTTGAATAAGATCACTCAACTAGTTGAGAATCCAGGAAGTTGTGTTTTCTATCCAGCCATATTTCTGGCACATGGTACAGAGTGATGTCATGAAGAACCATGTCAACAGCTTTGCTCAGGGCCACATATTATAAACTCGTGTGCTTCCTGCTCTATTGGACTTAAAATCTGAAAATGCCGTGACTAGTTCTTAGAGACCCTGACTCAGTTTCTAGAATTCACTACCATCATGGTGGAGTGCTTATAAACTCACATTCTGGAGTTATCTTGAAGTAGTAGCATATTTTCTTAATTTTCTTATGGCATTTCAAGCAAAATAGAAATAGCCAGGGTGAATTATAAGTCTCGTCTGAAACAGACCCAAAAAATCCTATAATTGATTACCATGTTGAAAATGCTAATTAAAAAGAACTAAATGAATGAAGACAGATGGGAGAAAAGCTATTTTGAGTCAGAAGCCTATAAAAGAAGAAAACTTCATGTCAACACACCCTCCCTCACCAACAGTGCTTAAAATAAATTAACACAATACTCTAAACCAACCACGTGTGTGTTAAGTTTTCAGTCGTGTCTGACTCTTTGTGACCCCATGGACTGCAGCCCACCAGACTCCTCTGTCCGTGGGATTCTCCAGACAAGATTACTGGAGTGGGTTGTCATGCCCTCCTCCAGGGGATCTTCCCCACCCAGGGATTGAACCCCCGTCTCCTGCGGCTCCTGCACTGGCAGGCAGGTTCTTTACTGCTGAGACACTAAGGAAGCCCAAAGTAACCATACTCCCATAAAAATGTTTAAAAAATAAAATAAGTAGCAGCAAGGAGAGACAGGAGGATGACCAGTGTCTCCAGCCTACCAATGATCTGCTAATACAGTCATCATTTTTCTTTAGGTAGCACCCCCCACTTAGTGTATTGACATACTCTCTAAACTTGACTCAGGGGTTACTTGAGGAATTTCCTGCCCACCTTCCCAAAGCCCAAGACCACTTTGCAAAGCCATGACCTGGAGGAGCTGAGCTGGGGCCTGGGAGGCCTAAAGTGGGAGAAGGCGCTTACCTGACGGCTCGGATGGCGGCCTTCAGGGTGGGGATCATGTCTTCGATGAGGAACTCATTTCCATAGCCCCTGTCTTCCGCTGTGGGGTCCCCTGTCCCAGCATCTGAAAGGGAGACACCCATATCAATGGCAGGCCACCACTTTATCAGAGCCCTTCAAACTCAGCCTCCTAAGTCTCCATTTCCATTTCAGAAACCCTGATGTGTTCTCCAGGGGTGACATCATTCAGACTTTCTCAGCATCTCCCTCCCATGATCCAGAAGTCTGGTAAGTGCCTGCGAGTTGGACGGTTGCTTGGGGGTAAAGGCGGGGATGTGTGTTCCAGGGTTCCCAAGTGGCCCCTTTGGAGGCAGCCAAGGGCATGCACGTAGGTATTTGTCACACACCTGAGTTCAGACTCTGGCTCTGTCAGACTTTATCCTTGTGACTGTGGGCTGGGAGGTCACTTTCTGAGCCCTGTTCATCCTCCCTTTTTGTAAGTGAACAGGGCACCCGCTCCGACTGCCCCCACAAGACACTTTTCCCATATCTCTCCCCACCCCCTTGGGATATGGAGGTCCCCAGCTGTCCAGACCACTCTGCCCCTGGCTCCCTCCATCCTTCAAGGTGACCTTCTTGATAATGTGGTCATCATGGAGCCACCCTTAGGAACCATGCGGTATGTCTCAAGGCTCCCTGGAGGGGTTGGCAGGCACACGTGGTGACCCCGGCCCAAGAGAACAGCTAACACGGGCCCTCTGCGCCCAGAGTGAGGGCGGGAACCTATCACAGGGGCCGAGATAAAACAAGCCAGAAGCTGGTTCAGGGCAGCGGGAATGGGCTGTTATGTAGACTGCAGGGTTCTTCGCGGGGGTTGGGGGAGGAGACGTGGAGGAGACAGGGCGAGGAAGAGGAAGGGGTTACCTTCAGAGCTCTGCCAGAAAGCGTATGCTTTCATGCGGAAGGCGGTGCGGAAGCGCTCTTTATTGTTTGAGCCAACAGGCTTTGGTTCTTTAGAAGGACTTTCTTCTATGGCATCTACATTCAGAGGGGTAAATAGCTTTCCTTTAGTATTGCTACCACGAGGATTAGAAAGGCGAACCCGATCCAAGAGACCCAGCTTTTGGCTACAAAATAAGCAAAAGTGAACAATTTTCCTCCTTGAGTGCAGGCTTTCGTAATCTCCCGTCCCTCTTCATCAAGACGTATACATCCTCCGCGCGGGAATAGGACCTGCGCCTCCGATGCTCAATCTGATTGAGCTGCTTGGAAAGGGACACGGCTTGCTTCAGATGATAGCTCGGCAGCTGACTAGCTAGTACATCTCAGGCGTGTTTCTCTGACTTTCAGTTTCCTCATATGCTTAAGTGTAGCTTCAATGCGATCCAGGATATAAAATGCCAGCTCCTGGTAGCAGGCAGCAAGGCTTTGGCCCTCCTCCACTCCCACCTCCTTTGCGTCAGTAACTTCCTCAGTATCACTCTGTGGTGCCCAGATGGTGACACACAGAGGCAAAGCCTTATCAACTGTTCCTTAAGCAGAGCTGAATGACATAAATTACAAAAAGCAGGTACCCTAAACTGGTGTCCACAGACACCTCCCCCCCACCACGGACAGAGCTCTTTTTTTTGGGGGGGGGGGGGTCCATGAGCTTGGATGGGAAAAGCACTGCATTTTAAATTTAATAATTAGATTTTCATTCACAAATCTCAAACTGAAATTTAGCATGTCTTTCGATTATGAATGAATGAACCCCAGTAATACCCTCAATGCCCCAGCCGTATCCTGTGACTTTCTATAACAGAAATCACAGATCATCTTATATCCTATTACCTTCATGTATTGCTATGCTCATCACTGCTTCAAAATTTCAGAATTATTCTACCTGCCACTATATCACATCATTAGATTCGTCACAAAGAAGCACACGGATTGACTGCATCTCAAAAGTTTAAATATTTTGATAATTATATTTCAACATAATCAGCTTCTTTTGTAACTGTCTGCATTTTAGTTGTGGATACAAAGTTGTTATTCTGAGAAAGGGTCAGGGAATTTTAGCATACTGCTGTCTTCTAGGCACAAGAAAAAAGCTAATAAATCCAACAGGAAGTTGCCCTGGTGCAAGAACCATCTCAGTGTCCTTGGGCAAATCTGTGACCTTCTCAAACCTCAATTACTTCATCTTTAAAATAGGGATAAGCATGTCCCACTTGACTGGTTGCTATGGGATGCTGTTTGTCAAGGATTTGGCATAGAGCCCAGCACACACGTGCTCTGTAAATAGCAATTTCTCCGTTTCTTAACCTCTGCCTCTCACCCGAGTGGACACAGGAATGATGTCCTTTTGTGCGGCACAGATCAGAAAGTGCCTAGTATGTGTCACACATCGATACACTCAGCTCAGCCACTTTCTCATCACCCGCACGGGGCTTGCCACCCAGCAAGTGTGCCTGTACTTGTGGGAGAAGTGAGTGAACAAATGAATATGAATGTGGGTTGTCAAATCAGCTTTTCATCAGCCTGAGACACCGAGTATTTCTAATGTCGATGTCTGGTTATGACAGTCACGTGCCTCATACCAGAAGCTGCTGCTGTCTTTGCAGTTTGACATAGTGAGGCGGTCCTGGTCCTGGGACTGCAGAGGTGGGAACATCTTGCTGAGTGGGTGCCCTATGCTCTCTGAACACCTGGTCCTCAACGGTTAAGTGAGCCTAACCACACCTTGCTTAGGAGAGATCCGGGGACCACTGCATGTGATACTGTCCATGATGCTTCTTCCCTTCAGCTTGGCACAGAGAAGGCACTAAGAAATATTTGATTCATGAAAGAATGAATGAATATATGGGTGAGTCATTGTTACTCCTGACTCCTTCTGACTGTTCTTCGTCCCCCAACGCTGTTACATTAATAACCCACCCATCAGGATAAATTCAGATGGCTCCATCTTTCCTGAGCTGGTCCAGATTTTTCAGAGTGGCTTTCCTGACTGGCACTAGGTGAATGACTAATGGAGAAGAAATCAGCATCCAGAGGCTAAAAACACAGGACAAGGTAGGAAATCACTGAAGACACCCAGAAGGCTTTCCCAGACGTGAACTCAGAAGAAGAGGGAGGTTAGGATGGTCATTGCTCAGGCCCCTGCTTCCTGGCCCCTGCCTACCTGTCTTTGCTATACCAAGCAGATCCATCATTCCATCCACACCAAACCCCTTGCCCATCCCCAAGTCCCCTCCTACACACCTTTTTGCACTCAGCCGTGCCCTTTCTTCCCTTCTCAGCCGACCTCATTCCCATCTGCCCTTTAAAACTGCCCAAGTGTCCCTTCTTGGAAACTACTCCCCATATGCTTCCAAGACAGGCTGTGTTTGTCTCTGGGTTTAATACAGTGTCACAGCTCTATGTGCCCATGCCCGCCTGTCCCACTGGCTTGTGCAGTCCTAGAAAAGCAAGGATTCTGCCTACTTATCCCTGAACCCACCCTACACCCCTGCTCAGTACATCCTGATGTCCAGGTCTTTGGGGCAAAACTGACTTGGAGGGGGGGGAACGTCTTGAAAAAACAGGTGACCTAGGACACAGAACTCATGTGTCTGGGTTGAAGCTTCCTCATGTGTACGAGAATGGGAATCAACCCTCATTACACACGGTTGCCTAAGGGTTAAATGAGGGAACACACATAAGTGCTTAGCCGACTGTCTGGGAGGCAGTAGCAAGACGCTTTCAATAAATGCTGGCTGTCATCATTATCTTGGTAAATAATCCTCTTCCCACAGAAGCAGCAGAGGGCTAATAACATGTGTGAAAAGGATGGATAATATTTCCTAAAGCCACAAAAAAAAAATTGTTCTTTCTTTTTTAAATGAACTGAGGTGAGTTATCAGGATTATATATATATATATATATATATATATTTTACGGTACTTCTTAATGGTAGTCTGAAACACTCACCACCATCACTGAGTTTGACCGCAGTAGGAGATAAGTATCAATATATGAGGAGTTTAATTCCAGAAAAACTAAGCGAGACACAAGTAATGGCCATCACTCTGTCCTGATTTGAAATCTCAGCGTAGGTGCTGACTATTAGATAATGAAAGAGATTGCTTGATTCTGTCTCTGCGAGGACTGAGAATTCACTTATCTGGCATTTAAATGCTTCACGTCTATCTCTAATAGTCTGAGTTGCTTTGGCCATGTTCACTTAATACCCCATTGGTCACAGAGGTCAGTTTATGAGATGAATTCCAACAGCATTAGGAATCCAGATGCGTTGGGCACAGGTCAGAAATCTCGGCTCTGAGTTACTCACAGCCATAACACCTAAGAGGCTTATGGAATTCTTCCTCCAGCAAAGTGGGTGATCAGCTTACTTCTTAATTGTGTTGCCTGAAACCCAAGACCCTAAAGGATAATCAAATGCAAGGCCAAGTTCATCCCTGAAACTCAAAACCCATCTCAGCCCTTCTCTGTATGGATTTCTAGTGCATATTTCAGGCCTTGTATTTGAAGGCTTGCAGATCTTGTAAGAAAAGCTCTCCATGAAGCTGACATCAGATTTCCTTGGAAAGCTAAGGTCTGTGATTTGCTAAGGGCAGACAAACAATTTCCAAACATGAGTTGGGAAAACTGGAAATACAGACTAGAGACAGGAAAAATAACATCAAGGTTTTTCTTTCCTGGCAAGATTATGCAGTCCTTGCCCTGGACTCTTGATCCAGGAACTCTTTGTTAAGTTGCTAAGTCGTGTCTGACTGTTTTCGACCCCATGGACTGCAGCACACCAGGCTTCCCTGTCTTTCACCATCTCCCAGAGCTTGCTCAAACTCATGTCCATTGAGTTTGATGATGCTATCCAGCCATCTAGTTCTCTGTCATCCTCTTCTGCTCCTGCCTTCAATCTTTCCCAGTATCAGGGTCTTTCCCAGCATCCAGGCTCTTCACATTATTTGGCCAAACTATTGGAGCTTCAGCTTCAGCATCAGTTCTTCCAGTAAGTATTCAGGGTTGATTTCCTTTAGGATTGACCGGTTTGATCTCCTTTCTGTCCAAGGGACTTTCAAGAGTCTTCTCCAGCAGCACAATTTAAAAGCATCAATTCTTCAGTGCCCAGCACTCTTTATGGTCCAACTCATACAACCCCGCACATGACTACTGGAGAAACGATAGCTTTGACTACATGGAATTTAAGTTGTGTTAAACTCTGTACAGTCCCCTATTTCATGCTTCCCAGCCTCAGCATAAGCTGTGACCTGTGCCTAGGAAAACCTTCATCCTATCTTTTATCCAAATAACTGATTTTGTTTGAAACTTGGTCCAAGCAGCAGTCCCCAGGCACACTTCCACTTTTGGGTCAATGAGATAACCATTCATTGTGCATTTTTTTTGAGGCTTTTCTCAACCACGGCACTTGGCCATCGTAATGAAATCTTCACCTAAAGAGAGACTCTCTCACTATAGCAGTGGTTCTCAACCAGCGGTGATTTTGCCCCTAGGGGACACTTGGTGAAGTCTGGAATCACATTTGATTGACATAACTTGGGGGGTGGGGTGCTCCTGGCTTCTAGTGGGTTAAGGCCAGGGATGTTGCTAAACTTCCTATAATGCACCCAGGGCAGCCCCCACAACAAAGGCTTATCCCACCCAAAAGGCAACAGAGCTGCCATTAAGACATGAAAAGGGGAAGCTGTTTGTTCAGAAACGGCCCTTGGTCTAGTTATCCAGCACCGAACACAGTGCCTGGCACATACTCAGCCCTTACAGCATCGTTATGATGTTGAATGAAGGAATGAAGAAATAACAACACTTGAGCTTCTGATTAACAAGGTGCATCCAACCTCAGCTGAGAAAGGAACTGCTGTATAGTGGAAAGAGTGCTGCCTCTGGAGGAAGAACTGAGTTCAAATAGCTGCTCTGTGGTTAATATTTCAACTTGGGTGAGACATTAGCTCTGACTCAGTTTTATCTTCACCTGAAAAAACAGAGCTAATGTCACTTATTTACTCAACAAAATATGTTCTGAACCTTGAAAATGCTAGACTCTTGGTAACTTGCTGAGGGTACAGTGGTGACCAAAGCAGGTATGGTTTTCAGCCTCCAGTTAGCTTACAATAAGGTCAAGAAGTCA